TAGCGTGCCATCGGAGGTGGTTCAGGCACCTACATTGAATACCTTCAAGAGCAAATTGGATGCTTATCTTGCTGGGATCCTATGACCCCAGCTAACTTCCTGCCCCTGGGGCAGGAGGCTGGACTCGATGATCTTCTGAGGTCCCTTCCAGCCCTAATGTCTATGAAATCTAGACTTCATCTGCTCTTGTCTCTAAACTGTATTCTTTGGGGGCAAAACTATGTCTTCAAATATTTTTTGTAGGAACCTAAGACATTATGGCAGTCTGATGTTCAAGTAAAAGCATAATAGGATCAGATACACAATCCATACAATTGTGCCTCATGTTATACCACACATGCATGGCAGGAGGTGTGATTGTGGGATCCAGCATTAGGTCCAATCATGCTCTACTGCTAGTGTCAGGGGAGCTTGGGATCATGATCCTGGAATTCCCCTGCACTGGCAAGTAGCAGGCTCCCATGGCTGGGAGCCTACAGTTGAGAGGGGTGCAGCCATAGGGGTGCTCTATGCACTCTCATGGCTAAACACTTGCATATGATGGGGCTCACAGCCATGGGGGCACTTGGCTACATTGATTGAATGTGTGGGTCACAACTTAAGGCATGGTTGACTGGTTAATCATGCCTTAAGTGTAATATGTGACAAGGGCCTAAATAACAACTACCTATGATCTCCATTACAGTAATGTTTGATTGCCACACTTTACAACACATATGTCTTCAGAGGACCCAGAGGTATCCTACTTTTACAGAGGTAGGCCAACTGGCTTGCCTAAGGTCACACAGGAATGAATAGAGCATGAACTTGAACCTCAGTCTCTCAAGTCCTGGGCCAATGTCCTTAATCATTTGACCATCCCTCTCTTAAGCAGTAGTTCAGCCTTGTCTTGATATTCTAAATCAGGACATCAGTGCTGTCCATAGCAATGAACTGTTTATAGGTTAATTTATAGGCTGTTTATAAGTTAATTTGTTCCTCATTTTATTCCACCAGACATGTACTGGCATTATAAATATTTTGTAATTGAATTTTACAGGTATGTTGAAGAGGCCAAATGCTAAAAGATGCTGGGTCCCTTGTGCTATTCAGTGAGAGCCTCAAATGCTGAGATGTTTGTTTATATTTTAACAGAACATTATGAATAAAGAGCTGATGTAAGAGGATGTGGCTGACTCCGAGGAAGTGCCAGACAGGCTTTTGACATTTAACGAGGTAAGCGGAGTGCTTCTAGCATATACCCAAAATTCTAGAATAGTGCAGCAGTGCACTTGGGTCTAGATGTAAATTCCTATTGAACAGTTAAGTGCATGTTTGAGGGAAGGCGATGAATTAGTTATATTTTATGTATTTTGAAAGCCATGTGTCAGGTGAACATTTACCTGGAAATATATGAATAATTTCTTAATTTATAAAAAATTAAAAATATTAATTTGCCTCACACCTAAAATACTCCAGCATTATTATGGATTGATAGCAAAACACAATCATCTTGTAGATTATCCCAAAAGGGAAACACAACAACGTCTTAGTAGTGAGTGTGATCTGATTAACCATGGCATTTCACTACATTATGACAGGAGGGATAAAAGAATGTGTTGAGGGAGTTTAATTGTTAATGCTGCCATCTCTCTGCCCCTTTGCTTCATCATGGTCATTGCAATCATGACTGAAACCTTGCATTAACCTTTCTCTATTTAATTCAGCCTTTGAGTTAATAGCATTAGAATACAAGACCCACAAGATGTGTGCCATTTTACACAGACATGCATCACCTTGAATAACTAATGAAAAAGGTACTATACTTATTTGCTTGTTAACGGTATGAATTGCTTTAGGGTGTGATCCTGTATGCTTTAATTACAACGGCTCTGAGATCTGGTCTAATTAAAGCGCCCAGAGTGTCACATATATCAGCATCCCTGTGCTGAAAAGATGGCAGTGGGGGAACTTTACATAAAACTTGTTCAGCAAAATGGCCCCTCACCACCATTTTTCAGTGCGTACATGTGATGCTGGAGCCTGCTGGAGCGCAGTAATTACCATGCTCCAGCAGACTCAATTAATCGAGTCTGCTCTGACACACTGTAACTGCAACACATCAGAGCAACCTCAATATATGTGTATAGGTGCACAGATTGTCTAAAAGACAGGGAACTCCATAAAATGTAGGCTGTTAGTATGTATATATTACTACACCACCTAACAGCAAGGAATGGTGTACAGTAGTTTTCAACCTGTGGTCTGCACTCCCGTGTGGTTCCACATACTCCCCTCCACAACTCCCCCCAGCCCTGCTGGTGCCCCCTGCCCCCCACCCACAGCTCCTTCTCCCCCAGCCCTGCCAGAGAGGGCTCCCAGCTGCCAGGGCTATGGAGCCAGGGACCTGGGTCTGTAGCCCTCTGTCCCTGGCAGAAGGTGGTGACTGCTGCAGAGGAGTAGAGCCTGGCTCCCCCCACACTGCTACCTGCTCGCTGTGG